AAGAAACAGGGTCTGCCCAGCACGCTCACCAAGATTCAAGTCGATTTCTTGCCCGCATCAAGCCCTTCGCGCTTTGGAGCGCTTCATCCCCAAAGCATTGCGCTTCAACGCCGATGCAGCACCTAGAGTAATGAATCATCGGTCCCGCGGATCCGAGGAGTCATTGGCAGTGGCCCTTATAGAGCTGACTCGCGCATCTGCATTGCTGCCTGGCCACTGGTCCCGGTTTATCGTTCAGTTACGTGTTTCCGGCTTGCCGGCTTGGCTTGGAAACTCGTGACTACTGAAGGTCTCTGAAACTTTGGATTTCCCACTGATTGAACATGTGCAGAGGGTTTCAACTCCTTAAACACAAAAACTAGCCGTTCGTTAGTCGAATCAAACACGACGGTTGCATTCTAGCCGGGGATGCCCGTCGCACCACGAAGCCTACATTCTCACGAGCACTAGTGCTACATAGTGTTTGACTTTGAATTTACCGTACTAAAGGCTTGTCAGTGTGTTGCTGTTGCCATTTGCATGGTGCACAATATCCAGTTCCAACCTAGTTTGGTTATGGTTCGAAAGTTTGCTAGCTCAGCCGTTCCTAAAATCATTTCAGGATAGTGTTGGTGCAGTATTTCTGGCCCCTCCTACCACACACAAATTCCTTATGATCTTCTGTGTTGTCACCGTCGTAGCGCTTCTCATCCTCATCATTGGACATTTTTAGGTCATATCGCCACCATCTTCATCGTTCTTACTATCATCGTCCTCGCCACTGCCACCACCACCACCGCCCCGCCACCGCCACCGCCACCGCCACCGCCGCCAAACCACCACCACCACCACCACCACCACTACAACCACCACCACCGCCGCCACCACCAGCTCCTATCATCACAGCCTCCACCCTCATCACATCCCACGACCATCATCATGATACGTTTCTTCATCCAGTCGTGCCCAGGCACGCCGGTGTCATTGGTTGGGGTGGTGGCTGTTTCGAAGTAAAGTATCTTGGCCGCAGCTCAGAAACTCGATCTCACCAAGGTTCGCTTTGTTTGTTGGATTGTGACCGAATTTCGGCGAAGAGTTTTGTGAGCTAGACCCATGGTCTTGGCAAGCTGGTAGAAGAGGTTTCAATCAAATCGAAACGTTGGTTTCGTCCTGGTGCTGGCGAAGGCAACTGTCTGTATGCAAAAGGTTCATGAACCCAGTTGGACTTTGCACAACTTGAAACCATTCAAGCGGCTTTAAGGCCTTCCAGTAGGGGAAGTGGTTCAATCATGAGTCCATTCTGCAAGAGTTGCGTGCAGTTGTGCTCTGCATTCCACGCCCAGGCTCCTGGCAAAACATCACTGTCCTAGAGATTTAGACGTAGACCAATCTTGCGATGTTCAGGGGCACCCAACCGAATTCGTCAGCCGTCCCCATAGATTGAGGATAGGCAGCGGGGCCGCTGAGTTCGAAGCGAGCCAACGACATGGCGTCGTTACTTGGATGTGCTGCAGGTTTAGCGTCAAAATCGTTGAACCAATCTTGTTCATGTGTATGCACCTGTATCTGTGTATATATATATATATGTATCTATATCTGTATTGTGTATATAGATACGTATACATATGAATGAGCATATTTGTGTGTATCTGGTTATGTATATATGTATGTGTATGTGCAGGAATCTGTATGTGTCTATGTATCTGCATCTGCATCTGGATATGTATATGTATACGTATATGTGTATGTCTATGCATATATGTAACGTATGCACGTACGTGCGCATGCATGTATGTCTAGATGTATGTCTGTATGCTCTCTAGGGAGGGAGGGAGGGAGGGAGGGAGGGAGGGAGGGAGGGACAGAGAGAGCGAGAGAGAGAGAGAGAGACAGGGAGGGAGAGAGAATGGATACGTATGCCATGTGTATGTTGAGCTTTGATTCGCAAGAGCGCACAAGCATGAACGCAGAGGTGTGTCATGTAATTAAGACCCACGCCTCCTTCAGGCTGAATAGCTTCCGGTTTAATGTTCGCAGTTCATTGTTTGCTTGGGTTGCTGCTCCCACGCTAGCCACGAACACTGAATCGAATAACCCCAAACGTGCAAATTTTCAACTAGATGATCCAGTACTGCATTCCACATTCTCGTCGGTGCTGTTCTCTCTCTTCTCTCTCTCTCTCTCTCTCTCTTTCTCTCTCCTCACCCACTCTGTCTCTGGTTTGCTGTGTCTTTCTAATTGTCCCGTTTTGTTGTTGTTCTCTCTCTCTCTCTCTCCCTCCCTCCCTCTCTGCCGCTTTCCCCTCACCTTCAATAAAAGTTTGTCCCCACACAGCTCATTTCGCAATTTCTTGCACAGTTTAATTGAGTGATGCAGCAGTGCCGATGCTGCAGAAACGTTTTCGCTTTTCAGGCTGCTACTAGCACTGCTGCTAAACCCTAAATCCTACACCCTAAACCCCAATACCTCTGCCTCATGCTTCCACCTGAAGAACTGCACCTTCGACCTTCGAAACCCCTCCACCATGTGGTCCATGTCATTCCCAGGACAGTCTCGCTTTCGACTCCTGGTATCCCTTCAGCATGGAGTTCCGTCCGGCTGCAGGCCACTCGGGATGAACTCAGAGACTTCATTTTCTACCCCGGAATCAGGTCCTGCTGCTGTCGGGCTTTATCTTCAGCCCCGAACCCTAATTACCCTAAACGCCCTGCCCTAAACCCCAAACCCTGAACCCTAAACCCTAAACCCTAAACCCTACCCTAAGCACTGAGACGACAACCTAGGTTCTCAGAACTGCGGCTACGAGACCACGCCTGCACTGCTGGCACTGAACGCTCTCCTTGTCGTTTCCTGGGCTCCAAGGGCTGAGATTCCGTGATCCGTAGAGTCGTAACGCGGGGTCTTAGTCTAAAGAACGACCAACACTATGTTGGGGGCTCCTTATGATATGTATGGTATAATATATACCCAAAACCCTGTTCTAGGTATTAAGGCTCCTATATTAATGTTATAATTATACTATAAAGGAACCCAAAACCTCATTCATTCTATTCATTAAGGCCCCTATAGTCTATAGACGGGGCCGGGGCTTCGTATGTCATTCAGAAGCCTTAGGCAAGCTTCCCTAGTAGTAGAGTAGGTAACCTTTAGCTTTATTGGGAGTACTATAATTCTTACAAAGTCTCAATATACTCCCACATGGAAACCTTCAATTCCTCAGGATACTGGACAAGTAGGCTTCGGCACAGGCCGAAACTTGGGTCAACTGTCTTCGGAAGTATCAGGTGGGCTTTCAAGGCCTCCCGAGCCACTTTGCATGTTCGTGGCTCAACCTTGCTGGCCTTGTGCAAAAGCATGTCCCACTGTTGATGATAGAAATCCTGCATTACTTTGAGGACCCTAAACTATGGGAATTGTGGTATATTCCTTACTATGGGTATTTATATCATCAACCGTATGTCCGTACGAGTCGACACTTTGGAGCAGCCTGCTTGCACTCAATGATGGTTTGCCACAGAGGGGAGACAGACAGCATTCGCCCATCACTCTTCACCTGCCATAGGAATCATTGACTGTTTGCTTCTAATCTAGGCTCCCGACACGACGTCGCAAGCACTTGCCTGCGTCACATGGACAATTTCTGAGCCGCTTGAGCTCGTGTCTGCCTTGCTGTGGTAGAAGGATGTGTCTTCGAGTTCTGGGGTAATTATTACTCAAAGGGTGGATCACCCTCGTTTGCCCCAGTTTGTCTTCGAGCAAGGTTGGGAAACCACGGCAGGGCCGATACTTTCGCATGTCAGCATTGTTCAGCAGCTACCGTTAGGATGATATGCGGAGCAAAAAAGTAGCACGATGTTTCTGCGCGGAAAAAATTGTCGATATTTACAGGGAACTGTAACGGGCATGAATGCCCTGGCCAATGGATGGCTTGGTAGCATGGACGTTGTCATGGACGCTATCGTGGTTGGGCATGGATGCACTGGCCAATGGATGGATTGGTAGCATGGACGTTATCATGGTTTGGGCACGATGCAGACCTGAGCGACAGAGAAAGCGGGGCAAACGAGTACCTGACATATGAGTGACAAAACCGCAGACCCATCCTAGACCCATGTTTCTTGTTCCTCAGGGTCTGCAAGTCTCGACTCTACTGCCCTTCCATCCGAAGCTAGGCAATCTTTCCGGGCGATTCCTGGCTTTCTAGCCTCGTAGTTTTGATCTGATTCCCTTACAAGCGCTGCAAACTCCTAACGTGACTATGACTCACTTCCCTGGTCTCCATGGCTGCTCATCCCAAGTCAAGGCTGGTTTCCTTTGGCTTCGTCCACCAAAGCGGGTTTTCTTCTGGACCATGATCACAACCTTCTGGTGGTACTGCTGCTGTGCTGCGAACAGGTCCGGGTGCTTTGGGACTCCAGCTTACATCGGAGGCTTCTGAACAGAGAGGTTTGGAGGGCGTGGACTCAGGCCCGAACGCGAGCTAGTGTTTGGAAGCTCTTTGGTGCCGCTGAGGTGGGCTCATCAGCCCAATGGGATACAGGCCACTCTGCCGAACCGTGTCTTGGGGGGTCTTTGGTTGAATTCAGGCGAATGTAGGTGGAGGGGCCGGGTCTTCTCGACCCAGCCGTTCCTGGGATAGGTTCAGTGCCACATACTGCAGGGTTTGGCAGTGGTCATGCATTCTTGAGCTTCGTGGACCTTATGTGTGCATGTACTTGTTGCATAGCGTGTCTTATCCGAAACTTCGGTTCCTGCCCTGACTGGCTGATGCCGCCGTTGCAGAGCATTATGTTACGGCACCCAATTTCCGCATGCTTGGGATCCTTGGTTGTAGTTGTGCTGGCCATGACGAAGTCCGATCTGCTTGTTCTAGGAACGAAACTGGGATACGGACACGGTAGGCGTGTGACGGGAAAGCGATGAAGAAAGCCTATGAATAGCAATCCCCATTCCGTGGTAGGGAGGTGTGAATTATTCCCCGAGGGCAGCCCTATAAACCCTAAACTCCTACCTTGGCTCAGGTCTGTGGACACGTGCTTCCAGTATATGGGCCGCTTTGCTTACTTCGCCGGAAGCTCAGAAACTCCAAAGCCCCCGAAACTAACGTGGGAGTTTCCGAGAATTAGGGGTACCTTATCTTGGGGTCCTTTATAATAAGGATCCTACTAGTCCTACTATTTAGGGTACTATATCAGGGTCCCCTAGTTTCGGAAACCCCCATGTAGGGACTTTGAATAGCTCCCAATACCATATTGGTGGCTAGTATAATATGCCCCAAAGCCCGAATCTAATTATTAAGGCCATTACAGTGTAAGCTAGAAATTGGGGGGAAATTTGCGCCTCGCCTCAGGGAACCTTGCAAACCTGCCCCGAGCCCCGGTAAGGTTTCAATCTTGAGTCGATTCTTTCCCATGAGGTTCATCCAGATGCGAAGTCCCGCGTTCCCAGGCATTTTCTGTTGTTCCTTCCTATAAGGGTTTATAAGGGTTTAGGGTTTAGGGTTTAATGCCCATCCCCGGGCTTTGCAAAGGGCCTTGAGTCTTGGACCCTGGATACAGAGATTGACTGCGTGAGCAAAGCTTGACATATGGTAGTCTGTTGTTTAGGTCGTCGTTTGCTAGGTTTTCCAAAACCATTGAACCAAAGCCTCCAATTCCCGAATCCTGCGTGTGCGGGAGATGGATATAGGCAGTACTGAGGCCTGAACAACGGGCAACACTGCTTGTTTACGATAGCCGAATATACAAGAAGAAAAAATGTAGACCAAAACCGTATTGCAATGAAGGCCCCCGTCTGATAGGCGCCGGGAGCGAGAGTGCGACGCCATCTTCGCATGTCCGAGGTCTTCGGTGCCGAAGTTCTTTTGTGGCAGATCGGAAATGCAAAATGCACCTTTCCGGATACTGCAGCTGGGCATGTGCTCGATGTAATTCTCATAGAATCTTGGTCCAATTTGATTAAAGTTTAGGGATTTCAGGGAGGTTCGCGGAGCCCTATCTTACCCTGTAATCAGTCTGCCTAGTGCACGCAGGGGCGCGCAAAGCACATCACACGCAGAGGGGCTCCAGGCTTTTGCGAGATACTCTCGGACAACAGCGTGAGAACACCCGAAGCCTCACTTCGCTTCACACTCGAAGAGTTAAGCTCACTTACAGCTTGGTCAGAGCTCAGCTGACGATTTAGGGTTGAGGATTTGAGTCTTCGAGGTTCGGGATGTAGAGAATCGAAATCCTCTTCTTCTCACTTGTCCACGATGTGTCGAACCACTTGAGGGACTTCACCTCAGCGTCATAACGTTAGCGTCAAGAGGTCGGCATGGTGGGCAGGTTCACCGGGGCCTCCAATTTCTCAAATCAGTACATCCCGGCCACAGTCGGAAAGATTAGAGCAATCCAGGAGATGTTGCCTCTCTTGGCTACTTTACATTGGCACTTGCTCAGTGACTTGGACGGAAATTGAAAGCTTCTTCGAGCTTCATTCCGGATGCTAGAATCTAGCTCAGCATAACAACCAGGATATCGTTCAACATCGCAGTCAACATTCGCAACAGGCAGTAGAGAGGCACGGTAAAGACTGACGTCATCAGGTTGGCTTGGTTGACCCCGACTATTGCTGTATGACTGGACGCCACTGCCATTCATCAGTCGTTCTCGTATATACCTGCAGGACCTACCTAAGCCTTTGAGCGAGAAGTCATAGCCAAGGCTACGTCGGCAGCTACAGCCTCAACGGTGCCCTCTTTCAGAGCTGGGAAGGGCCAATGGTCTTCCTGATGGGTGGCTTGGCTTTTGGTTTAGGGTGTAGGTTTTAGGGTTTAGGGCATTGGTGGTGATGTATACATAGATCCCGTGCCCATGGGCAGCAGAAATCGCGTGATCTTTTGGGCATGGCCTGTTATGCTGTGAGTGTGCACCAGCAGTAACCAAAGAAGACAAGGCCACAGTCGCATCAGAAGGAACTTGGGTCAGCTATCGATTTCGTTGGCATTTCCTTTGCTCGGCGTCGCATGCCGCGGGATAGAACCCTAAACCCTAAGTAGAATATGAATTGGCAGAAAATATGATCTCTGCAAGCTGCAATTATGTTCCCATGATGAAGCTTCTGCAGTCAAAGGTGGTCTGTCGTTTTGCAAGGGTGATCTGGTTTGGTGTTCATTCTTGCGGTGTGCTGATTCGGGACAAGATTTCAGAACCAGGTGTGCATTGAAAGCACAAGCTTGAAGCCAACCTCAGCTGACCAGAGACTTGCGTTCGGTGTCGGCTCCAACCGTACTCTGATTTCTGGCACCAGCTGCTTCTTCAGCCCTGAAAAGAAAAAGCTGCACACGATTCCTGCCCTTCTGCTTTTCGATCCCTAGTGGGACTCTACGGGACTGCTAGATATGGTTCTCGTGGTAAGGCAGTCTGGTGCTCCTGCCGATGGTCATCGGTGTTCTCCGCGACTGGCACCCCGTCCTGGAATGCCACATCGCAACGACACATAGCACTACTGATGGCACCGGTCATAATGGCAGGGAGCCTCCAGCAGGTTCGGTTTGCTTGTCACGTCGGCCATGACAGCCATGAGATTCTCAACATCTTCGTCGCCATCGTCAGCACCATCTACATATGCGTCTTCACCTTCATAATCAACATCTTCATCATCATCATCATCAGCAGCGCAACATAAAACATCATATTCGTCATCATCCTCACCATCGTTAACAACATCATCATCATCAGCAGCAGCAGCAGCAGCAACCGCAACAGAATCACCACCACCATCATCATCGTCACCAGCATCATTGTCGTTGTCATCATTCTCATCACATCATCATCACCATGCACCAACAGCCACACCTACATGACCAAAAGCAGCTGCGGCAGCAGCAGCAGCAGCAGCAGCAGCAACAGCAACAACACTAAGAGCGACAACATCAGCAACCAGAACGACAACACCAGCAACAGCAACGGCAGCAGCAGCAACAACACCAACACCAACACCAACACCAACACCAACACCAACACCAACACCAACACCAACACCAACACCAACACCAACACCAACACCACACCAACACCGACACCGACACCGACACCGACACCAACACCAACACCAACACCAACACCAACACCAACACCAACACCAACATCACACACACACACACACAAAAAATAAAATAAAATAAACAACAGGGTCAACAAATAATAGTACAAATAGCAA